CCCCAAAACCCCAAAACCCCAAAACCCCAAAACCCCAAAACCCCATTTGTCGAGCGAAAAATTGATAGCGTGCTTCTTAATGTATTTGTATCTTTATTTCAATGTAAAACTCCAAAATCTATCCAAAAAATTTTATAATTCCTGAAACTTTTTATGAATACTTTTAGCAACTAAATATAAAAATGTAGAAGCCTTCCAATTATATTAACCAGCCTCTTCTCTAATTATCGGGTAAGAGAATAAGTTACTCGAGTTAGGGTTAATTGTGAACACATTTTTGATTTCGACACTGCTGAAAATGTGAACACTTATCTAAATAGAAATTTGGTTAAAGATTCATTAACCATAACTTTTAATTTGATAGTATCTTTACCGTTTCAGTTACTGATTACTTGAGATCAAAGGCTTCTTGGAATTTATCGTATATAACGAGAAGTAGAGAGCAGCCTAACCCTCTGACGATGTTGGTCCACTGTCCTTTGAAAAATGCAGCAGATCCTTCATTTCTGTAAATTTTTATAAATCAATCTCTTGTATTTTTGTAGAGCACATCATCTCTTCCAGACTGCATCATCAATCTTCTTCTCACAGTATCTAAAGGATACGAGACAATTCCAGCAATTGTTGTGGTTACTTGTGCAAACATCCACATTGCAAAGAAATTTTTTGAGCTTCCTTCAGGGAAGACATAAACTTTTCCTGTATCGTAGAGCCCAAAATATGCTGCTCTGTAAATGATAATGCCAGTCACTGAAATTCCAAACCCTCTATAAAGTCCAAAGACTCCATCGTGTTTAATAATCTTAGTAAGGCAATCAGTAAGACCTGTGAATTGCCTCTCTGAATTCGTTCTACCAACATCAACTCCCATTCTAGTTCTTGCAAAGTCCATTGGATATACAAGTGAAAGAGAGGCTGCTCCTGCAGCACCACCACTAGCCATATTACTAAAGAAGAACTTTAGTGCCTCTGTATCTTTGTCGAACTTTCCAAATGTGTTTGAGAAAACCGACTTAAAAGCAAAGTTAAGAGCTTGAGTTGGAAAATATCTGATTCAGTTAGCTACATTCCCTCTCCAAAATGATACAATTCCTTGTTCTCTGTAGATTCGAATGAAGCAGTCGTTCATTCCTTTGTATTTATTTTGAGAGTTAATTTGAGTCGAAGCATCCTGGTTCTGGAGGATCAATTTGACTCTTTCCACAGGAGCAATGAAAGTCTTAGAAATAGCAGCAGAAACTCCTCCAATAGTAAAATCTTTCACAAAGCTGTGTTTCTTATTTTTAGCAGTGGACATGATTAATTTTATTCCATGAATCCACAAGAAATAGGGGTTTTGGGGTTTTGGGGTTTTGGGG